GCCATTAACAGTTTAGTAGCAATACCTTTAATCTTATAACAGTATAAATTGCATCGAAGGTCCTCCTGAGTCCCGACCATGACCCTATTATTACATAGTTTACATTAGGGTCTTAATAGGCTTCTATTATTAGACGACGACAAAAAATATTATTGATTGATTTGTATTTTTTTTTTAACAAGGCTAAAATATTAGTATTGTAAAAAAAAATCGTTACATTTCAAGATCACAAGGCTAAAAAAAAGGATCACAAGAATTAATAATCAACTGTTACAGTATCTTTTAACGAAATTGGTATAATCAAAGTAGAGCCGGTCTTGAAATTTATAAGACTGTTTTCTAGATTTTATTTTTAAAATGGATCGATTTGTAAACAAAACCAACTCTAGTTTTTAGAGGACCACATGTTCATGATTGTTATGCTTGGGTTTAAGGTTGGCCATGTATTAAAAGACTTATACAGCATTTAATACCTTAAAGTCTTTTTTACTCAATTATCCACTTTTCGTTTGAAAATTTGATGGTTGAATTGAAGATAACTTTGTATATATTTAGCATATTTCTTTTAATAAAGTCTTATTATAACTAAGACGTACAATTTAGTGGTTTATGCTAGTATAATTGTTACATGATCATCCATATGTGTATGGTTGAAAAAGAAAGTTATATATATTATACTAACTATGCAAATATATAGCGTTAATTAAGCATCCTTCAAAATACAATATTCTTTACATATAAACAAGCAAAACATTATAAGAGATTAATTTAGGTACAATGAGATGCAAATATGAGGGTGATTTAAAAAAAAAATTGAATTTTAATGATTAATTAATATTCTTCTGAATCGTAGTTTAATGATTTATCAATGTTGTTGTTATATGTGTAAATTTTTGTCATACTCATGATTTTTCTATCTAGTTATATACACAAGTGAATCATATTTTACAAGTTGATTTGAAATCTAAACGCGCATATTGGTTTATTGGTTGGACCATACGGTTTAGCCTCTTGGTTCATATTTTCGAAGATTGTTTTTTGCTTTGGGCTCATTTATTAGGCTGGGCCTCTTATATTTCGGCCCATTATTAACATTATCTCCGGGAAGAATCTGAAGAAACAATGAGACTACAATGGCTGCCTCTACCGCCGTAACCGCCGTGGCATACGGAGTTTCGTCTTCACGAAGCGCATTTGCAATCACTTCCCGGAGATTTTCTTCATTCTCGCCTTCGAAAAGGTTGGACCACAGTTTTCTGCGGCGGAGAGTCAGTACACCATCGCCGAGGCGCGTCGTTGTTCGTGCCGCTAGAACTGAGTCAGGCGGAGTAAATCTAGGAGCTAGGGCTCCCGATTTCGAGGTAAAAACTGTAGTAATATGCACTTGGAAGGATAACGAATGCTGAGGAAAGTTCCAATCTTAGAAATTTTTGTTGTTGTTTTGAGTGAAGTAGCTTCCGGAGCCACTCACTGGAAATTTATGGAAATTAGATGATTTTGAGCTGTATCCATGTCTACTGGTGAGTATCTTCATCTGTTTATATACCCTTTAATCTTTTACTTTGCGTTGTACAGTAGTTTGTATTGAAACCTTTTGTGTTCTGTTTAGGTTATGTTCATCTGCAATCATTGTCCCTTTGTGATTCACTTGAAGAAAGATATTGTAAAGCTCTCCAATTTCTACATGAAGGTACCTTTTATGTTCTTCGTCTCTTTTATTCTTTCCATAAATGTTAGAATCTTAGCTATAGAGGAATGATTTAATACTGTCTGGTTTTTGCAGAAAGGTCTTGCTGTTGTTGCAATATCTTCAAATTCTGTAGTTACTCATCCTCAGGTTTGTGTTTGTGACTCTCTAGTGTCAGTTTTTGTTGTTGAGATTAGGTTTTTTATGAGGTTTTTTTTTTGATTTCACAGGATGGTCCAGAGTTCATGGCAGAAGATGCAAAAGTTTTCAAGTATCCATTTCCTTACTTATATGATGAGGTATCTTTTGTCTGTTCTTTTTCAGTATTGTTAGTTGATTATACTCATGTTCTGATCTTTTCATGACATTTTTCTCGCTCTTACCTTCAGTCACAAGAGGTTGCAAGGGAATTTGGAGCTGTTTGTACACCTGAGTTTTTCTTGTATAAGAAGGTAATTTGTGGTTATGTCTTTGACAAAAGATAGGAAAGTAGCAGGAATGGTGTCTACTGTTTTGGCTATTCTGTGAGTTTGTTCTGTTCAAGGACGTAAAGTTCTATTTGAAATATTGTATTATGAATATATGCTCAAGATAGCCATTTGTTGGGTTGGGAGTAGTAATATCATTAGTTCTTTTTCAAGGTCAAACAGTTAATTCTTCTTTTGAAAACTGTGACTTGTTTGTTAACTCTTATCTCATCTTGATCTCGCATGTCAAAATGGAACAGGACGGTCGTAGGCCATTTGAGCTGTTCTATCACGGCCAATTTGATGATTCCCGGCCTAGCAATAACATACCAGTAACTGGGAGGTTCGTTATCTATACTACTGCTATTTACATATTGCAGAGAAATTGTTATATGGCAAAACCTAACATGTTATATTTGTGAAGGGATCTAAGCCTGGCTATCGATCTTGTCCTTAGCGGTCAACCAGTACCATCAAATCAAAAGCCAAGGTACAATTAAAGTGTATCCATTTTTTTCTTTCGATTCTTTGTTTACAATGTCTGTAGCCTTTCATGACCAACTGAGACCCTGCCTTTGGTATATTTTTAAAGTGTCGGTTGCAGCATAAAGTGGCATCCAGAAACAGAATCATGAGCGAAGACATTGATTGTACGTATAAAAAGCATTGTACTTATAAACAGCTGTGCAACATTATTTTCAGGCAAGTCGCTTGTTTTATAGTACTAGTTATCTTCCATAAACTCAGGTCTGTAGTATATCGGAACAAACAAAAGATCCAAACTAACTTATTTCACCAGAACCAGAAGTACAACTGTCAAGATTTTGAATACTGTGGATTTGTTAATTTTACAGGTTTGTTCCAAAATCGAAACTGAAAGGAGAAGAGAATGCAAAGCAGGAGAACTTTAAAAGGCTGAAAGTGTAAGTTGTATCCATTATTCAAGATTAATATACAGTAATTCTACTCCACGGATCCTATTTCGTGGGGATCGTTCATGTATGATATAACTTTATGAACAATATAAGAATGAGTCTTAGTGTAAAATAGTACGTTTTCCATATTTAATAAATTAAAGTATATGTGATTCAAAAGTAAGAAACGATCTTCCTGGTCAAACCCCGAACCTGGTAAGATCTGTTGAACTCCAGTTATCACCATTGATCATGAAGCTCCCCTGAGAAATTAACTGGTCTGGCTCCTCTGAGAATGAGCACTCCAGGATTTCTTGAATCTCTTTGTCATCGAGTAAACCCTGGAACTCGAAGATCTCCTCTCGATCTTCTTGGAGAAACTGACCAAAACCTCGTTGATCATCTTCTATCTTCTGACTTAGATGATTGAATTCCCCGTAGAATCCAAGATTCGCATCGGTTTCTTGGCAGATATCCCAATTCAAGGAATCTAAAGCATGAGTGGTTGTTGTTACCGGTGAATCTTGATCGGATCCGGTAGTATTATCTGTACTTGAAGGGCTCCGATCAGTCACGTACTGTGCGAAAACCGCAGCCAAATCAATATCAGAACCAGCAGGGCTGGACTGGGATCCATCATCTTGGTTTATAAGACCATCATCAGGCCGATTCTCGTTCCGACCAAACCTTTTCTGACTGTTCTGTCTGCTCCGGCTTCTCTTGCGACAGCCTCCACCGACGGGAATGTTGCGGAGAGAACCGCCTTTAGTCCAGTAACGACGGCAACCTTTGCAGAAGTACCTAGGCTGAGACAAGCTGTAGTTGTTGTAATAACAAAACTTGGTGTTGGAAGATGCACAACGAGGACAAGGAGGAGCAGTCTCCTCATGACCGTACGAAAGCGTCCACTTCGCTGGAATTTCAATCTCCGGCGACGGAAGCTGGTAGCTGTTGAGTCCATTGTACGGCAACATTTTTCATGTACTCTTTGAAGAACTTTGGTTATGGGAAATTGGAAAATCTAGCAAGTGGGCGATTGGTGTGTAGTCGAGTGCATGTAACTCTC